CACACTACGACAAAGTGCTCGTCAGTTAGCATTTTGATACTCACTAATAATACACATCACTCTAGCTCTTGTATTAGCAGTTGGACCGTACCCCCGTTCGGCCACTTCTTTGTAATCAACATAATTACACTAACACAATTGGGCTATTGAATCATTACCTTAGTTGATTTTCTTTCCTAGTTACTTTCATTGAGAATCGTTTTAGTTATATTCAAAGGGTTGTGTTGGATCTTTGGATGCAGACGAATTAACCTCAACACTCCTTAAAGACTTAGCGCATGCGAACTACAATAGATGAGCGAAGTTTGTGTGATGCTAGAAGCCTTCTCCTATGTTCATAGTTTGAACTTTATGTCTACATAAGTGTTGTAGGACTTTTTTAGACGAATCTCATGACTTCAATAATACTTCTAGTATGGCTAGTCAAACCCAGGACCAGGAACTTCCAACATAATATTTCTAGTATGGGCTAGTCAAACCCAGGACCAGGGACGTCCAACATAATATTTCTAGTATGGGCTAGTCAAACTCGAGACCAGAGACGTCCAACATAATATTTCTAGTATGGCTAGTCAAACCCAGGACCACGAACATCCAACATAATATTTCTAGTATGGGCTAATCAAATCCAGGACCAGGAACGACAAACATAATATTTCTAGTATGAGCTTGTCAAACCCAAAACTAGGAATGTCCAACATAATATTTCTAGTATGGGCTAGTCAAACCCAAGACCAGGAACGTCCAATTTAACTCGTATGGGTGGAAGGATGACCCAGGCTCAGGAAGGCTTAGTATAACACTCAATAGGTATAGATATAGGACAAAGCTTGTAGGCTAGATATCCGGGGTTTATTTTAAGGAAAAGGGTGAGAGTCCGAGGACTACATCCTTATAAATGTTTTGATTAAAAAAAATGACCCGCGGGTCAGATATTTTACAAGTATATACTATGGGTATTATCTTGTGTAGTGTGGGGTAGTGTACACTATGCCCTTATATGTATATGTATCACCTATTTTTGGGTCCTATACTTAAAACGTTAGTTATCGACCATATAACCTGTATGTCACCAGTACTTCTTTCTGTGGAGTACTGACCCCTTCCTGGGGCCCTCGATATTTTTCAGGTCGAGACTAGAGTTTGCTTCCTGCACCATTTTTTGGGTGATCAACTAACGAAAGACGTGGTTCGGGCTTCATGTTCCTGTTTTCAAATATTGTAACCACTCATGGATATTTCTATATTATGTTTTGTAAACATTTTGGAGCCTGCATGCTCGTAATTGTCACGTGTGACTCATTGCCAAACAATTGTATTATGAACCTTGTGTAACTCCAAAATTTACCGAATTGATAAATGCATCTTCCGGGCGCCTAGTACAATTTGATAAGGACGACTGTGGTTATCCTTGTTGGGTTATACGGTGGTTGTCTACGTGTCACAGACGCAATCCGGGGCATGAGATATATAGGGGAGGAGGAGCCTTTGTATTAATTATGCACTAAACACACACTTATTGTGTGAAACCGCTCATTATACATACACTTATTGTGGTGTACTAGTCTTAAACGTTTCAGGCCATTACACACACAATTAAACAATGCATTAATCACGTATTTCAGTTGCAGAACGTTAACCAACGTTCAAAACACTTACAGTTCGAAGGAGAAATTAAAACATTCAATAACCGACGGTAGTTCTACATTTAATTCTACATTCGAAATTTTTTCAATTTTCTTCATCTCAACAAGTGAACTTCGAGAATCAATTTCTCAGTCACCCATTATCTGTTTTGAGTGTACCACATGTCGAATTGAACCTCTTAAAAAGGAGAATCTGAAACCACTTCCACCCGACCCAAATTGAAAGTGGACCCCACTCAAAATACTGACCGAAAATAGTCATTTCATACAAATTTTCCAACACTACGCACATGTCCAAACCACCGCAAATGAGACTCCTGCATCTTATCTTCTATAGGTGCAACTCCTACCTTTTGTTTGATTATCTTATTACTCAAGCTGTCTTTTCTAGTATGTCCAGACATCCGACGCCACATACGCATCTCTGCCACACTCATCTTTTGAATGTGACATTGTTTCACTGCCCAACACTCTACGCCATACATTATTGCAGGCCTAATTGTTGTTTGATAAAATTCATCTTTCAGTCTTTTTTTTTTCATACCAATGTTTTTTTCACAATAAAAGTGAATTTTATTGAAAAGAGTAAATAGTACAATCTGAAAAGGAAATAAAGAAACAAAATAAAACAGTACAGAGAAAGTAAAGCCTAAAATTGCACCCAAGCTAGGAAATTCTTTAGATTGTGACCTAACCTTCATGCTGTGGCGCCTCTTATTCTTTTGAGATTTCCTCTATATTTTGATTTGCGTGTTTAGGTTGTCCGTTGGCAGACAATTTTCTGAGGTAACAAACTTGGATTTTTTGCAAATTGCTAGTCGGCATACTTCGATCGCATAGAAATCCTGATGCACTCTTCCATTTCACCCACCAGCTCTGATTTTATGGGATACATTTCCATCTAATCCACCATCCTTCTGAATTATGGAGCTCAAGTAATGAAACATATCAGACACTGGTATCTCCTTACCATCAAAAGTAATCTCATTGTTGCTACTACTTCTACCTCCACCAAGCTTGCACTCCATTTTCCGAGTCTTGCTTCGGCTCAGTCTGAAACCCTTGGTCTCCAATGTTTGTCGTCATACTTCCAACTTTGCTTTAACACATGATTGTCTCATCAATCAACACAATATCGTCTTAATGAGACCAAGTGTATAAAAAGCAATATCGTTTCTGGCTTTCCTTTTTATTTTCTTCTCATATTTTAGATTAATCCGATGATTACATTAATTTCCTACGAATGGGAATCTGAAATTGTCTATATTTTCACCTAAAAATTATATTTTCACAATCTGAAAATGTCTTGTTTCTATACAAAAATGTCATTATCATGTCAATACTCATATCAAGTTGCATTCTCACTGGAGGTTGCAGGAACTTGCCACGCAACGACGTTTCGCGGAAGGATGACGGCGGCGAACACAATGAACAACAGTGGTGGCGGTTGACTTACTAAAGGGTGGATGAGGCCAAGGTTTAAAAAGGCGGGTTCGGGTATCGAGGCGGTTTGTTCCAGAGAGGCAGGGCGTAAGCCTCAAGACGTAATTAGGCGTAAGACTCAAAATATACCAATAGGTTAAACATATAATAGTTAAACTAATAATAAACAACTAAAGAAATGGATAATTATAAGTCCATAACGTATCAAACACAAACACAAGTATAAACACAAGCCATTCATCATCAGATGGCAAATAATCAATCAAAATATTTTCCCCATCATTGGTTAGGGATCTTAATATAAGGATTCCATCTTTCATCTTGTAAAACCTTGACCAGTTCTAAGGGAAGATGACCAACAGCTTAGTACAAGAAGAAAGAGGAGAGAAGGAGAAGAATAAGAGATGAAGAAGAATAAATTATTTGTAAGTTGTCTACTTCGTAAAGGAGTATGAAAACTTCTGTGTGCAGAAATATGCAAACATTTTAACAATTACTGAATAATTTAAATGAAAAAAGACTTGTTAGGGGTTTAGTTTGGACTATGGGTACATGTTTCATGTATGGGCCTTTTATTAAATACTACTTAAATTAATCCAGGGATTTAAAAATATAGAAACTAAGAAACTCACGCCTAAAAAACACCTCAAGGCGTACGCCTCAACTTTTGAGGTGTAAACCTCTTGACATGCGAAAAGACCTAAGCCCTGATACCTTCTCTATACGCCTCAATTTGAGGCGCGCCTCAAAACCCGCCCTGTAAGCGCCTTTTTAAACCATGGATACAGCCCAGTGTGTATTGTGTAAGTGTTAAAACGAGGGCATCGACGGAGGGCTGGGAGCCTGAGAATTTTTTTATTTTTTCATTAAGGGTAATGTTGTCATGTTAGTACATATTTAGTCCTATAAAATATAGGAGTCCTATTTTTGCACTTCAGCATTGTTTTAGTCCTACGTAGGTGGGAATTCTCTCAACATAGATCGATGGCTATAGGCCTATAGCTACTATTTGCAATTTTCCCGTAAGAGACCCTCAACTTCATTATCTTCATCACACACCAGTTAACAACATTGGCCTTGTTTGGCAATCGACTGTTAGCTGGTTATGACAGCTGATTGACAATAGCTAGTTGTGTCAACTATTTTAGTTGGCTGATTATGTTAGCTTGTGGTCATTAAATGTTTGGTAAATTAGTTGTTTAATAATAGTTGTTCGCATGTAAAAAGACATATAGGGACATTAGTATTTTATTTATTTATCTAGCTATTGCTTATGAAAATAATATTACCTACATTTATTTACAGAGTATAAATCATTCAAGTTTTTGAAATTAATGAATAAAACAGCATGAAAAATAAATTAAATCAAAATTAACATTTTAATTTAATTTGAATAATATGAATTAAAAAAATCAAGTTTATTTGTAATTTTTAAAAAATGGCTGGGCGATTTCACTAAAGAAGGCACACACCATGTAAGGCTCTAAGCATATCGATGCATGTGTGTGCGGCTATGCGGCGATGTTATTTTTGGCTGTCGTGCGAACTGTGAAGCATAAGGATTAATTAGGTATAAAATAATTAGATAGCAACCAGCCAAGCACAAACGCTGGCATTGCTAGCGTTTTGAAGATCAGCTTTTGGGGAGCAATGAGCTAATCTCACCAGCCATTTACCAAACATAAATTTTGACAATTTAGCTTGCCAACTCAATTAAAAGTGGCCAAATAAGCTGAAAAATGGCTGATAAGCCATTTACCAAACATGGCCATTATTTTGTCAGTATTTGTTAGTTAACCATTCGCCATTGTTGATGATACGGAATAATATTAGCCATGAGTTTAGATGAAATCCTGAACCAAGTCTTTCATAAATGGAGGCAAACGAATCTAAATAGTCAAACAATTGTACCTGCAATGTGATGCAGCTGTAATTTCCATGCAAACCCTACATTCGAATCCTTGAGGGTATGTTAATAAGTTTGGAATGAAAGGTGATTGAAATGTTGTGGAATAAAAAAAATAGATCAGACATCCCCTTTTTATTAGACCAAGCAATAAGCACCCTAAACCCCTCCATCCAAAAAAAGATCAAGAGGTTTTGCCAAGCAGAGAAGTTAACTTTGATTTCTGAAAATTTGAAATGTGAGATTGATGATCCCTCGGGCAGTTTTAGACAGGAGAAAGTTTGGTCAAATCCCCTCATAGCAATCGATAGGGGTGTTTGGAATTGATTCAGAATCAATTTTCGGAAGCTGGTACCCCCAACTTCTGCTTCTGATCCATTAAGGAGCAGAATCATTTTTGAGAATCAGATCCAAACACCCTCATAATCTTGCTCAGGTAGGAAGCTCGATGAAGCATTAAATAGGATAACATCACAACAAAGCCCCGGCCCATGAAAACAAGAAAAGTACACAGCATTCATAACTCACAACACATGTAGCTAGATATAGACATTAAGGCCGGCCAAATCAAGATCAAAGTCGATTTGTTTTACCGGTTCAAACTTGTCTAGAAGAAGAACTTTGCAGGGATATATTGTTAAGCCTCTCCAACGCTAACACAAGAGCTTGAGTTCCTAAATGGCCTTCTCCGTGAGCCTTGAGTGATAGATAAAGCTGCTGTGCCAAAGCTAACCCAGGCAGTGCCAAAGACATGTTCTGACACTCTTTTAAGCAGATTCCCAAATCTTTAACAAAGTGATTCACATAAAACCCCGGATCCATATCTCTGCTCACTATCCTCCTCCCATACAAGTCCAGTGATTTTGATCCTGCGGCTCCCATTGAGATTGCATTCAGATATAGATCCAAATCCAGACCTGCTTTGTGGGCATATATAAGGCCTTCGCATAGCCCAACCATGGTCGAAGCTATGGTTATTTGATTTGCTAGCTTGGCGAATTGGCCTTTTCCAGGGGTGCCCATGTAGTAAACCCTGCCCATGAGGGAAAGGATAGGAGAGAGCCGCTGAACCAGGGTTTGGTCCCCGCCGGCGAAGATTGAAAGTGCTGCGTTGCGGGCTCCCCGGTCGCCGCCGGAAACGGGGGCGTCTATTGCGGAGCAGCCGGCGGAGGTCGCAGCTGAGTGGATTTCGACCGCGAGAGAGGGATCAGAGGTGGTCATGTCGACCACGATGCCGCCTTGGCTGAGGCCGGAGAGTGCGCCGGACTCGGGATCGAGGATGACGTGTCGGACGTCTGACGGGTAGCCGACGATGGAGAAGACGACGTCCGATTTGGAAGCAACAGATCTCGGGGAGTCAGCCCATTGCGCCCCCATGGAAATGAGCTCTTGAGCTTTGCTCCGGGTCCTGGTGAAGATGGTGAGTTCATATCCTGCCTTTATCAAGTGGGAGCACATAGATCGGCCCATTACGCCGGTGCCAATCCATCCCAGACGGGCCATTGAGCGGGTAAGGGCGGCCACGCGCGTAGGGAGAGAGTGTGAGCTTTGAGCCCTTGAGTATCTAGCTAGATAAACAGATACTCCGCAGTTGGTTTCATCTGATGTCTATTCATATGCCGACTGCTACAATAGAATAGCATCTATCGAGATTACACTAGTGTTTGTGTTTGCTTATAATAAGTGTTATGTTTGTTATGATATATGTGCTTTTAACTGCTTCTAGCTTTTTCTTCTTCGATTCACCCCAGAACTACTAAGGAGTCCCGATTGGAGAAATAGGCAGCTCCCACTCTCACACCCCCTATTTCGCTCACCAGCTGTTTCCAAATTCTTAAATCTTCATCTTCGAATATATATATATACTAGATCTTTACCCGTGCGTTGTACGGGATGCATATATTATATATTTAACCATGTCATTAGATGACAGTGGAAATCTAATGAATAGTTAAATAACTCGGATTTACATATGTTAAAATTTTGGAATGAATTTTTCAGAGCGCAAAGTTGGATAAAGTTGGGATCACTTCGTAATAATAAAAATACTTTTCCTCAGATATATAAATATTTTGTTACGTATTTGTGTTTATAAAATATACTACCTCCATCCCACTAACATTGGGACATGAGGAGGTGACAAAGTTATTAAGAAAAGTGAGTTTATGTGATTGATATTGAATTGATAAAGTAAGAATGATTTACATCCACACAAATTTTACCAAATTTGGTATGAGACAATCTAGTGGGACTTCCTAAAAAGGAAAAATGGGACAATCTTAGCGGGACGGAGGAAGTAATAACAAATGATTCATGCAATTGAGGAACGCTAAAAATGTTACTGATCAATCTTTTGTAAACATCCAATAAGCAAAAACATTAATTGATAGTATAACTTTAAAAATCAAAATTTTCACATTATAATTACTAATTGCTAACTATTAATTTACACATTATTGTTTAGAGAAAATGAGTATGAAATAATTAAATATGGAAACGCAAGCTACACCTTGTTATTTTATATTATTATAGAAGACTATTGTTATTAATAATATAACTATTACTGTACTGCAAGACAATAACAATGATGTTTTTAATTAGACTAAAGTTTTATGATCGGGTCCGCTTAAGTTTGGTCTGATGACCTAAACTGATCTGGTCTAGTAAGTGTCAGATGTATGCATATTTTACTAACTTATTCTGATCAAGTCTATTGTATTTAAATTTGATCTGATTTGGTGTAGTTTCTTTTAATCTGGTGTGGTCTAGCTTATAATTGAAAACATTTAAATCAAAATATGGTAAACGTTCTGATTTTTTTCTTTGCGTTAAGTGAAATCCCGCCAATTATGTATCACTATTATTATATTATAATAAAAATAATTATTATTATCTATCATCATCATCATTATAGATTATTTTGAAATGAAAATATTCCAATTACTCCAATATTCATATAACTTTTATTTTTTAATGGGTATGAAGCATTAAATGTCTAATTAGAGGGAAAAGCAAGGTGTCACACCTTGTTACTTTACATTATTATAGATAGATTATAGATATGTCCTTGCTCCTAGCTACTGTTTTGCTCTTGCTTGGGTTGGGTTTATCTTCTTTTCCGATATGATTTTTCTTTCTAGTTTGGCTTCTTTCTAATTCCATGGGCATGGTGAGCATCTTCACAATCGGCAAATTACGGCAGAGAAAAGACACCGCATGGGTTGGGTTTGATCCTGAATTCCTGATCCCAATCTGGTATCCTTTTTAATTTTACAAGGTTGTTTTGGTAATTTAACAATGTATTATATCACAAATCACTTTTTTATCAAACACTTCAACTTCTACATTTTAATTAAAATCACTTCTACTTACAAACACTATCAACTTATACTACAAATCACTTTTACAATAATCTATTAAAAAAACCACTTTTAAAAAGCACAAACAATCGCAAACACTCCCTACATCATATCAAACTATAAAAAAAGGTAGAATTCCGCAACAAAAATGATCTTTGTACCCATTCTTATACCCACTTTTGTACTCATCTATGTTTGTGAAGTTTTTTTTATTGTCTGTAAACCCCGGCTCACAGACAATATTTTGCACAGACAAAATGTTGTCTGTGAACCGTGTTCACAGACAAAATGTTGTCTGTGAACCCATCTATGTTGGGTTGTTTTCTAATATTTGTCCCTCTTTCCATTTTTGGATTATTTTCTTTCAATAAATATACCCATTTACCCTCATTCTCTTTCCTACTTTTTCATTCTCTTTCCTGCTTTTTCATTTAAACACAAGTCACTACACCTTTTACATTACCCCTATTATTTTACTTTTAAAACTTGTGCCAAACCCTATAGGGCCAACTAATGGAGAACGGAGGGAGTAATTGTTAGCCATTTTCATTAATTAAATTCTTGGAAAATTATTTCTAACTTGTCTATGAGATTAGAAAATAATTTAAGCCAGCCATATTAAAGCACATTAATAAGGCCTAGAAATAGGATATTTTAATGAAAGGGATTAACATCTTGTCTATGAGAAATAAATTCAATTGCTTAAATAATGAGTTTAACTGGTTAATGAATTTGGCTATTTTTATTAATTTAAATATTGGAGAATTATTTCTACCTTGTCTATTGGATTAGAATTTAATTTAAACCAACCATTTTAAACACATTAATGATACCTAAAAATAGGATAAATTAATGAAAATAGTTTCTATTCTTGTCTATGAGGAAAGAAATTATTAGTCCAATTTTAATTTTAATTTCCCTAATTACTAGGTCCAAGAATTTATCCATTTCTAATTACTCAATTCATTGCCCTTCTTTTATCATTCCATTTAGAATTTAATATGTCTTTCATTTAGTTTATATTTGAGCCATCATCAGTATTTGCATAAATTTAGTTAGTCTCTTTTTCAAAAGTAGTTTAGGAAATCAATCAAAAGTTTTAATTTGGAAAGCTTCCAATAATTTGCGATAACCTGTGACTGGACATAAAATCAAGAAACTCCTCCACCATTCCTCAAGAGACACGATACTCGGGGGAAAACCGAAAGGTTAGACTCCGTTTTACTACAACGCCGCGAAAGCGGTTATCGAATGGCGTCGTTGCCGGGGAATGGTACACTGATTTCTTGATTTTGATTTTAGCATGGGCGAATTCAAGTTAGGGAGACTATCTTTTTCTTTTTTGTTACTTTCTCACGTGTTTGCTTGAGATTTCCTCATGGATTACTCAAGTGAACGCTTTCATTCTCAACCACCATATCACTATCCATACTATGAACAACAAAGTTTTCAAAATAATCAAAATGAAGGATACTATGGACAAGGTTATGAGGATAACAATCAATGGTGCGAATATCTACCTTTGGGGTATGGATATTACCAATTTCAAGATAACTATTTCCACCAAGGGCAAAACTTTGAATGCTATGATGATTTTTCCTATCAAGGTAATTATCATGATGATTTTAATTATCATGAAAATTACCACGAAAGGCTAGAAAATCATTACACCAGCACAAACGAGTACTCCTTCGAGAATGACTCTGGAATTTCACCTTATCCTCAACACGAGCTCGAAGAATTAAAATCATCCTTACTCGATTTTGTGGAAGACTTAAGAAAGGCAAGGATTGAACTAGCATCTCGTGACGACAGTATCAAAGAACTGTTTGAAAAATTCATTTATGACAATGACCACAAAGTTCAAGGGGAGTAGACATACGAGGAAGGTGCTAAATCTGAGGAGGAGGCTGCAGTAACTATGGGCGAGACGGTTGAAACTCTTTTCACCCCTATTTCTTTTGAGCCTCTCATTGCTACTGAGCTAGAGCCTGTCCTCGTAGAACTTAGTCCTAAAGAGCCCCATATGAAAGTGCCCAATGAGGTTGATGAAGAAACCATAGATGATGAGATATTTTGTGACGATGAACCTACCCTACAATCTATGGATGACCTCTCACTTAAAGAGTCCCTGAAAGATAGCCTTGATGAAGATTTTGATCCTACACGAGCCCAAGCGCCTATTGAAGTAGTTGATGAAACTGGTGATGTGGAGGAAACAATGCCCGATGATGCCTTCTTTGATTCTCTACTTGATGACTATGAGCATAATTGTGCTGGGCAAGGACTTGTTTGCCTAGATGATATGTGTGGGAGTAGTGAGCAAGGAAGTTGAGATGCACTTTTAGAGAGTGACACGTAGTTTGAATTTTGTGATGTAAATGTCGAGGCCATAGTTAAAGAAAAAGAAAACCAAAAAGGGGAGCCTAAGACTTTTACTCAAAATGTTCTTACCATGGTGATCCCACTTGAGTGATTTCAGGCACCAGAGGCACCCAAGCTTAAGATTCTTGTTGTTACTCAAGAGGGGTGTGACAGATTTGTTATTCCAAGTTCACATGATGCAGTTTATGATGACTATGTTACATCTTGGTGGTCTCGAGAGTTTAAAGGTCTACGCCATCTAGCGGCGTATCATGAAGGGAAGGTTGAGACCTTGATGATGAGTGCTCCACGGTTGATTTGCATGACTGACGGTTCCCTCTCAAACGTCAAGCTAGTGACGTTAAAGAAGCGCTTCTTGGGAGGCAACTCATGTTTTTCATAACTTTGTTTGTTTGTTTTGTGTGTTTGCAGGTTGTGATTCAATGTTGATGAAATAAGAGATTGGCTTAGACCTAACTCTGGCCCACAGGATCACACAGGCGATGCTTAGTTTTTGTTTCCTTAACATTTTATTGTGTTTGTTTGTTTATTCATGTTGGACATTGCGTTACTCTTTTGACTTGAATGCTCTTACAAACTGACTATGGATGATGTAACGATTTTTAAAACAATTTTATTCCTGTTTCATTGTTCCCCTTCACAAAATCTTTTCAAAATTCAAGTGTGAAGAAAGAACCAATAATAATAATGTGTCTTTATTTCAAAATTTTGTGCCTTAAAAAGAGACCTCGAGGGCGAGGTCCAACTCAAGTGTGAGGAGGTTGCGTTTACACTCAAAAATTAAAACCTTGTTTTAGAACAATTTTTTTACTATTTTTATATGAAACATTAATTTCTCAAATTGTTATCAATCACATAATAGCTTAGATAATCATCCCTATAATAAGAATTTATTTTTATTATTATTATTTTTAGAAAACTTGAAATTGTTATGGGTTTTTGGTTGCGAAAGTAAAGGGCCGAATTTGTTTTAATTGGACATTTATTTTAGTAAAAAAAACTCATTTATTCTAATCTGCGGATAGCTCATTTTCTCGTTGCCCAGCTAGTTATTTTCTATCTACCCCATGTCTGCGCTGTTTTTTTTC